ATTAATGCGAAGCGTTTTTTTGAAAACAGTGAAATGTCATTAGTGGGTCTTAGAATTAGATTGAGCTTCGCTTTGTTCAGGGAATATATGGAATGTTGTGGGGAGCGAATAAGATAAGATAAGTTTTGGAGATAGATATGGCGTTGATCACCAAATATTTTATTTATTTGGTAAAACACAAACAAAATACAAAGGAAAAGGAATGTCCTTGATGTTACCTACTCTGTGTACCAAGTATACATTTTTCATAAAATATAGAGTGACTATAAGTATGTATGTCAGGATTCGTTTATATATATCCGATAATCCGAATTTGTATTCACCCCGCCATAAAATCTTCGATCGTCATATATGATAGACACATAACTGTTGTCGTGATCACAGATGCGCTAAATAAATTTCGAAATCAAGCCACAGACGTACAAACAGATCGGTGTTGTTTTGGGTTCTCCATAAACTATCCTGTTCGAATATCGTTTGATGCTTTATTCATCATCGTATTTTGCAATGCAATGTCTTGGAACTTTCTGCTCGAAAAATCCAAGCCATATTAGAAATGCTCGCAAAAATATACTAGTTTTATATAAAAACTAGCTGAAACCGGTGCGCTTTGCTACCCCTTTGATTTTATATGCGTGTATTTGTTGGTTAAAAACAAGTAAAAAAGTTGTAAGTTCGGCTGGGTCGAATTTTGAATACCCTCTACCATTTGGCACGAATTTGGCGATTTTCAAACAAATAAAATCCGTTAAAAATTCTTTTAAAATCTTAAAAATACCGAATGTAGCCGTTTAGGTTCTATACGACGACGTGGACCTGCATAGGCAACTTTTGTCCTAAGCCGTTACAATATTCAAATGCGAAACTTGAAAAAAGAATTCGTTGAATAATGTAGCTAAAATCATCAAAATAGCAAATATAGGAAGGTACTGTTATATGGTGAGGCTATACGAAGACGTGGACCTGCGCAGACAATTGTCTGTCATAGGCTGTAATATCCATTACGAACTTCAAATACCAAATTTGAAACATTTCCGGCGAATAATGTCGCTTAAATGCCGACAATAGGGAGGTATCATTATATTTTGACCCTTTTGGGGGGGTAAGTACCAGGAGGAGAGGACCGATATATCCCATTTTTACGCCAGACATTGGGTTAATAAAAATATTGGGATGTGTGTAATTTGAAAACAACCGGATGTTTATTTCGGGTGCTATATATGGGGGCTATACTAAAACGTGGACCTGCGCAGACAATTTTCTGTCATAGACTGCGGTATCCATTGCGAACTTCAAATACCAAATTTGAAACATTTCCGGTGAATAACGTGGCTCAAATCACCAAAATACTGAAAATAGGGAGGTATGGGGGCTATACATGGACCTACATGGCCCATTTTCAATACCAAAAGTCCTGCAGACAAAATTTACAGTTGAGTAAAATTTTATCAATCTACCTCATTTCGTTCGGAAGCTAGAGTGATTTCCACCGCTAAATCGACATAGAATTAAATGCTGATCAAGAATATATATACTTTGTGGGGTCGAAAATGTATATTTCGATGTGTTACAAACGGAATGACAAACTTAATATACCCTCCATATTATGGTGGAGGGTATAAAAATGTGAAATGGGTTTTGCAAAATATCATGCATGCCCATGGTAGAAGTAGAAATGTAGTCTCATGCATAGTCAAATTTATATTCAACCCAATCATGATTATCCACGCGGAATTGTATTCTCACAGAAAGCATTATTTTCGCGAAAAAATTCCACCAGTCATGAATAAATAGGAAAAAATTATTTTTTGAAGATGGCAACTCGAATGGCCCCTTTTCGTATCTAGTGTATCCTATTTGTTGTACAAATTTGTAAATATACAATGGATTTATGAATATTAACATAAACATAATTATAATCCCGTCCAACCTTCTTCGTAGAGAAAAAATAGTTTTAGGTGACTTAGTTCGACTTTGGCCCTATCAAAAAAAATATATTTTACAGCATTGAAAGAAAAAGGATAATCACATTTAGCTCCAACTTTGCAAATACTAATATTTGCACCAGTGCTAGGTCAGGTGCGAAAATGGGCAAATCGGTCCACTCCATCACGTCCCCCCCCCCCTTAAATGGGTCAAATTTCTGAATAATTATAACTTTTATAAAATGTGATGTAAGTGTCTGATTGTCTTCAAATTACACACCCCACAATATTTTTATTAACCCAAGGTCCGGTGGAATATATCGGCCCACTCCTTCTGATACCTCCCCCATGTTGAATATCCATGAAGCTCATAAAACACGAAATTAACACCCGATTCCATTCAGACTTGATACATCTCAATATTTCCATTAACACAAGATCTATTATAAAGATGGTAGAGATCGGACCATTCCTTCTGGTACCTCCCCCACAAAGGGTTAAAAAGTTGAATAACCAAGACGATCATAAAAACGTAAAAATGCATCCGTTTCTCTTCAAATTACACACATCACAATATTTTTATCAACACAAGATCTGGTATGAAGATAAAATATATCGGTCCACACCGTCTGATACCTTCCCAACAAAGGGTCAACATTTGGAATATCCATGAAGCTCATAAAACTCGAAAATACAATCCGATTCATTCATTCATTCATTCAACGCAAAATTAGCATCCGATTCTATTTAGACTTGGCACATCTCAATATATTCATCAACACAAAATCTGCTAAAAAGATTGTAGAGATCGGTACCTCCCTAACAAAAGGGTTAAAAAATTGAATAACCATGCCAATCATAAAATCCGAAATAAGCATCTGGTTCTCTTCAAATTATACTCATCACAATATTTTTATCAACACAAGATCTGGTGTGAAAATGGGATATATCGGTCTACTCCTTTTAGTACCTCCCCCACAAAGGTCAATTTTTTGAATATTCAAGAAGCTCATAAAACACGAAGTTAATATTCAATTTCATTCAGACTTGACAAATTTCAAAATTTTTATCAACACAAAATCTGTTATAAGGATTGTGGAAATCAGACCAATTCTTCTGGAACCTCCCCCATTAAGGTTCAAATTTTTTAATAACCAAAACGATCATAAAATCCGAAATAATCATCCAGTTCTCCTCATATTTCGTACATCCCATTATTTCTACTGACACAAGATCAGATGTGAAGGTGGGATATATCGGTCTACCCCTTCTGGCATCTCCCTCACAAAGGGTTAAAAATTTGAATATCTATGAAGCTCTTAAAACACGAAGTTAATATTCGATTTCATTAAAAAATGCGAAATAAGCATACAGTTCTCCTCATATTTCACACATCCCATAATTTCTACTATCATAAGATCAGTTGCGAAGATGGGATATATCGGTCAACTCCTTCTGGTATCTCCCCCACAAAGGGGTCAACATTTTGAATATTCATGTAGCTCATAAAACTGGAAATTAATATCCGATTCCATCCATACTTGGCATATCTAAATATTTCCATCAACACAGGATGTATTATAAATATGGTAGAGATCGGACCATTCCTTCTGGCACTTCCCCAACAAAGGGTCGAAGTTTTGAATAACCAAAACGATAAAATCGGAAAAATGCATACAGTTCTTTTCAAATTACACACGTCACCATATTTTTATCAACACGAGATCTGGTGTGAAGATAGGATATATCGGTCCACACCATCTGATATCTCCTCAACAAAGGGTCAACATTTGGAATATCCATAAAGCTCATAAAACGATTCCATTTAGACTTGGTAAATCTCAATATTTCCATCAACACAAGATCTGGTAGAAAGATGGTAGAGATCGGACCATTCTTTCTGGAACCTCCCCTACATAAGGTCAGAAATCGGAATAGCCATGAAGCTTGTAAAACGAGAAATGAGCATCAGATTCTCTTCAAATTACACACATCACAATATTTTTATTAACCCAAGGTCTGGTGTGAAGATGGGATATATCGGTCCACCCCTTCTGGTACCTCTACCACAAGAGGTCAACATTTTAAATATCCATGAAGCTCATAAAACATTTTTTTTAATTTTTTTATAATTTATTTATGATATCGAAAAAAATCAAAAATATGAGATTCTTGCAGGTTCTGGAACAAAGCTATTCATTTATAATTTCTATGCTAAAAATTTTTGGTCAACATTTTCCTTTCTTTTTTTGCTTTTGCTATTGATGGTTTTTAGAGACATTATTACCTAATTTTTTTCACAGTATGGTTAAGATCGAATAATTCGCAGTCCTTTAAAATAAAGATTTTATTATTGGACTTCAATTTTGTTAATTCACAATAATTTTTTCCCATTTTTTTCACTGAGTTCATGTTCGATTTTAGTATTTTCTAGCTTTATATAGTTTTTTTTTTTTTAAATTTCTATTAATTATTTTATACACAAAACTATTAAAAATTATTGATTTTTCATGTTCTCTGGCCATTCATTCATTCATTCATTTCTACAACAAATTCGCCTCTTGAATGAATGTCATTGCGCTGGCTGTGTTTGGCGATACAAAATGAAAATGTCTGGTAACACCAAACAAAACAACAAAAAAAAAAAAAAAGAAAAAATGGAGCTCTGTATACAACTGACGCAGTGTACTCATTCAATCTCTCCGATTTTCTCACTCACTTAAGCTCATCTCTAACCAATCTCTGATTGGTGGCTCAAACCAAAACAATAAAAAAAATCTTTCAGAGAGCCAGAGAGGATAAATTGTAATGAGAAGAGTTGTCTGGTGAGAGCTTAATTGGAATACTAGGCAAATGTTCATTGCCTGAATGAGAGAACATAAAATTTAAATATTTTTAAATATTGTTTTGTTGTTATTATAATTTTTTGTTTATATTGAAAATGTATAATTCAATATCCATGCCACACAGTGGACTAATTTTGCATTACTTTTTTTTTGCTGTTGTTATTGCTCTAACACTGTTTGCTCTGAGAAAGAGTCTCACTCAAATACACACACACAGAGAGAGACATACCGTTGAAAATACTCTGCACTTGTTGTTTGTTGTTCCTTTTTCTCGTTTGTTTGCAATTATTTATATTTTTTTCTTGTTGTTGTTGCTGTTACTGCTGCTTGTTTTTGTCAAAAACTAAGCTAACAAAATTCCAAAAAAACCTGTAAACAATAAACATACCAATACACACAAACACTTGTATAACATTTTCTTTTTTTATTATTTTTTTCGCCGAATGTTTTAATTAAAATGGATGACCGTGCTGTGCTCTGCTCACCAGCAAATTCTTGTTGGAAAATTTTTCGTGTAAATATTTTTCCCAATTAGCAGCAGCAGCTATTCGCACTTGGAATTTTCATTACACTTGTTTGGCAATGCGTGTTTGTACATGTGTGGCCGTGTGCCTGAGTGTATGTATGTGTGTGTGTGTGTTTGAGTGAGTGGGGAGCGCGTATGTGTACATGGGGATATGTAAGTTTGTTTTAAGTTTTGTTTGGTTGGCTGCTTGCTTTGCTTTGGCCATTGGCGGAGAAGAAGTTTTTACTGTTGTTGCTGTATCGTTATTTTTCGACTTCGTTTTTTTAAAGACCCCTCAGAAACCAAACCAAAAAAAAAAAAAAATCTCTTCTCTTCACATTATCCTGCCACTGAGAGGACACCAGCAGCAGCACCAACTTTGACTTTCATAATCCCCTGGTCTGGTTTTCTGGTGTCCTTCTTCATCTTCGTGTTTGTGTGTGTGTGTGTCAGACAGTCAGTCACTTAAGTTAGAGTGCCTTTTTCGACCCCATATAGGTATTTTTTCCTTTAATTTTTTTTTCTTTTGCTTTCTTCAATTTTTCACTTTTCATGGGATTTTTCATTCATATTTTCTTTTTTTGTGGGATTTTTAAACAATTTCTTTTTCAATCTCAATTCAAAATTTCTTTTTTCAATTTTTTTCTTTACTCACATTTATCACTGATCGACGTTGTGGTTTTTTGTGAATATTTTTTATTTAATTTTTTTTCTTTTCTAATTTTCTTCAATTTGCACAAAACACAGAAAACAACACTTTTCACTTGTACAACATTCTCCGAATAACTGTTCCACTTTGCTCCGACATGCGATGACTAATTTGGTATTCGACTACTTTTATGGCAAAGAGTCTGGGATGGCGTGCGAAAATGGTTGGCAATGCAGTAGTGTTGCCATACCATGTCAAGGCAAACATTGCAAAAATGTGTGGCAGGGAGAAACGGTTATTTTATTTAAATTTGAATTAAGCGTATGTGGGAAGTCCAGTAGAGAAAAGGAGAGAGAGAGAGAGATACAAGAGAATATCGTTGTAGTAGCAAAATTTGCTGAGGCAGCAGTATTAAAAAATAAACAATAAAATAGTACTGATAACTCTGATTCTTTTCTTATTATAAATCCAATTTAAAGTTTATAAAGCCAGTTTCACACACACATACACCCAAATAATGTTTTTAACGAAGATTATAGAGTAAAAAAGGCTTTAATACATTTTTCTGCTGATCCACGCAACCAAATTAACATGGGATCAATATGAGGGTAGCTCACATTCAATGATATATCGCTTACTCATTACTGTGCACAAATATAGGGTGTGGGAAAACGAGAAGCTCTCTTGAAGATGAATTTGATATGCATTGGTAATTAACTGCCTAACCACAACGGATCAGGTAGATTTCCTCAAAAGATAAAGTTGAACAAAAAAAAAAAAAAAACAAGTTAAAAATTATCAGTCGGTTTAGCCAATAGATGTATACCCTCAGCCAATGTTCGAATAATTAAATATATTTTGACTTCGGTTATTATTATTCAAATTGTTGATCCTCTATGGACCAATATTGTCCATTTCGTATAGGACCTAAATAAATATGATATAAATATTGTGACGAGCCAGGTTTGGACTATATCGACTACTTCATTCATTAAATATTGAGATGTGCAATCGAATGTTAAATTTGCGTTTTATGAGCTTCAAAAATGATTAAAAAATTTGACCCTTTTGTGGGGGAGGTGCCAGAAGGAGTTGACCGATACATCTCATCTTTACAGCAGATCTTGTGTTAGTAGATATGTGAAACGGATATTTACTTCGGATTTTATGATCATTTCTGTTATTCAAGACTTCAACCCTTTATGCGGGAGGTACCAGAAGCAATGGTCCAATCTCTACCATATTTATAACAGATCTTATGTTGATAGAAATATTGAGATGTGCTACGTTTGAATGGAATCGGATATTAATTTCGCGTTCTATAAGCTCCATAGATACTCAATATTTTGACCCTCTGTGGGGTAGGTACCAGAAGGAGTGAACCGACATATACCATTTTCACACCAGAGCTTGGATTAATAAAAATATTGTGATATGTGAAATATGGAGAGAACCGGATGCTTATTTCGGATTTTATGATCGTTTTGGTTGTTCAAATTGTTGACCCTTTGTGGGGGAGGTACCGGAAGAACTGGTCCGATCTCTACCATCTTTATAACAGATCTTGTGTTGATAGAAATATTGAGAAGTGCCAAGTCCGAAGGGAATCGGATGTGAATTTCGTGTTTTATGAGCTTCATGAATATTCAAAATTTCGGACCTTTATGGAGGATGTACCGGAAGGAATGGTCCGATTTCTACCATATTTATAACAGATCTTATGTTGGTAGAAATATTGAGATGTGCTACGTTTGAATGGAATCGGATCTTAATTTCGTGTTTTATGAGCTTCATGGATACTCGAAATGTTGACCCTCTGTGGGGGAGGTACCAGAAGGAGTGGTCCGGTGTATTCCATTTCCACACCAGACCTTGGTTTAATAAAAATATTGTGATGTGTGTAATTTAAAGAGAACCGGATGCTTATTTCGGATTTTATGATCGTTTTGGTTATTCAAAATTTTGACCCTTTGTGGGGGAGGTTTCAGAAGGAATGGTCCGATGTCAACCATCTTTATAACAAATCTTGTGTTTATGAAAATATTGAGATGTGCGAAACCTGAATGGAATCGATGTTAATTTCGTGTTTTATTAGCTTCATGAATATTCAAAATTCGAACCCTTTGTGGGGGAGATATCAGAAGGAGTGGACCGATATATTCCATCTTCACACCAGACCTTGGGTTAATACAAATATTGTAATGTGTTTAATTTGAAGACAATCGGACTTTTACATCACAGTTTGTAAGTGTTATAAATATTCAAAACGTTGACCCTTTGTGGGGGAGGTGCTTGATGGAGTGGACCGATATTATCCATTTTTGCGCCTGACAGCAAATATTAAAATTTGCAAAGTTGGAGCAAAATCGGGTTATCCTTTCCCTTTCTGTGCAGTAAATTATTTTCTTGAAAAATGTTGACATTTTGTGGGGGAGGTACCTGAAGGAGTAGACCAACATTGCGCATCTCCTAACTCGATCTAACTTTAACAATAATATTACCATGTTCCAAGTTTGCCAGCCAGACCTTGTACAGAACCGGTCAACATTTCCGAATAGGAACCAAATTATTTGAAAAGAGGTCATGGGCCACCTAAGTCCACGCATTCGAACCTCTCTCGAAACTGGTAAAATATGTGCCAATAGGGGCCATAGGTCACACAGGTCTAGTTTTTCGTACTTCCCCCGGAACTGTATAGAACTTCCAAAAAGAAACCGTTGGTAAACTGTCTCAAAATTTCAAAAAAAAAAAAAAATAGCTCACCAAGGTCCACGTTTTTGTACTTCCTCCAGAAGTAGTCGAAATTTACAAAAAGGATCCATATGCTCTCTGTTTTGTATCTCTCTTGGAGATGTGCCAAAGTTCCAAATAAAGGTCCAACTCAGGGGGACAGGGCACAAAAACGTGGCTCGAGAAAAGGTAATAAGGTCACCTAGGTCGACGTCTTCTTAAATTCTCCACAATCTCCTAACTCGATCTAAGTTTGACAATAATGTTACTTGTTCCAAGTTTGCCAGACAGACAGACGGACGGACGAACATCGCTAGATCTACTCCAAATGTCCTGAAACGGATTTAGTCCAGAGAGACCTAGGGTCTAAAACCGTTATTTATACCCTCTCTAGCCCTACAGCTGAGGATATAAAAAAGTGTGGCACAATTTAACGAGTAACCGAATAATTTACAGCACTTTTGCCTAAACAACAAAATACAAACAGAAAGATGAGATGAGAACTGCAATTTTTCGAAATTACTGTAATGATATTTTTTGCTGAGAAAAGTGTTGCCAACCTATTTATGTGTCGAGTGAGCCAGAGAGGGAGAGTGAGTTTGAGAGAGAAAGTCAAATGAAATTGGGGCACTTTGCATAGCAAAGAAATAAATAAAGAAAACCCCAAATATTGTGCAGAAATACAAACGCAGAAACGTGAGAGGCAGTGAGAGTAGACAACTGTGTGTGTGTGTGAGAGAGAGAAGGAGAGAAAATGAGCAAATGAGCGCCAAAGCACACTCGTTTATTGATTCAATTTTCCAAATTGGGAGAGGACATAATGCGGACTGTTGCGACAAATGAATGGGTCCTAGCGAAATTCACGCACGCACTCACCCGCACGCACACACACGAACACATCCACACCATGTTATTTTATGGAGCAACAAAAACATTAAGGATAAAATGGGTTGTTGAATGTTAACAGGCAGGCTGGCTGACTGGCGGCCCAGAACGGATGGTGGTTGTTCAAGGCGTAAATGCCGTTATAAAAACATTTATTGTTGTTGTTAGTGGTAGTAGGTTGGTTGGTTGGCTGTTCGTTTATTATTATTTTTTTGTTCTTCTTCTTGTGCTATTGTTCTCAGCTCCACATGATATCAACAGGAAACATATGACATGTTCGTTCATGTTAAAGGATTTCGAAATGTTGCTTTTCTGGGAAAGAAATGAACGTAAAATGGGAGGTGGAGGGTTTTTCGGTCACCGAGTTGGGGTTGGGGAGGGTCGATGGGGGCCATATTATCCTGTGTTTGGCGAGTCATGTGAGATGTTATGATACGATAACGAACACGAATGAGGGTTTTTATTATTTGACAGTAAAAATTGTAAGAAAAACAACAAAAAAAAAAATAAACAAGAATTTAGATAAGTTAACAACTTGGACAGGCAGCTGGCGGGTGGTGGAGGGTGGGGTTGGTTTGGAAAAGCGGATGGGTAATATTTGTATGTATTTGGAAATATATACATGCACACACACACATACACATAACGACCAGTTGATTAATAAGGTCAAGTGTTTTGAAGTCTGGGCTGCACTTTCTAAATCTATATTAAGTCACACACACACACACATACATACAAATGGAGGACATGGCATAGTCCTTGAAAAGATATTCTGTAAATTCTAGTTTTGGTTAGACCATAACTTTTCAAAATAATAAGCCTCTGGTGTTGGAGGAATCCAATTCCCACCATGAGCTAAGCCTCCAGTACCAGGTAATGCTCATCGGAGTAAATAGATGTGGCCATTGGTAAATTTATAACTCCATGGCTGTCGGGATATCTCAAGTACGAAAACGTACAGGTCTTAAAAATGGTCCCGAAATCAACCAAATATCGTGAGGTACCGTTATATGAATCAACTTGGACCTATGCGAATTATTCTATTCAAGGATGTTTTCTGCATACTGGGGACCCAAACTGCCTATTTACTGCAAATTTGGTCGGAAGCTGTAGTTAATAAATATATACTCCGCTGCATGGAGCTTCATATTCGTATCTCCTCCGGAACTGGTCGAAATTTCCAAAAAATTTAGTTCACCAAAGTCCACGTTGCAAATCCTCCCCTAGAAGTAATAAACATCTCCAAAGCGAAGCCAAAACATTCAAAAAGGGACTATAGTGACCACGTTTTTGCACCTCCCTCAGAACTTATCAACATTTCCAAAAATAGGGGCCCAATATCGGGGGAGATACTGTCTTTAGTGTCAAAAATGTTACAAAATTTCCAAAAAGGACCTCCGGAGCTGGTCGAAATTTCCAAAAAATTTAGTTCACCGAGGTCCACGTTGCTATACTTCCCTCAGAATGTAATACACACCCCCAAAGCGAAGCCAAAACATTCAAAAAGGGGCCATAGGTCCACGTGTTTTCACCTCCCTCGGAACTTATCAACATTTCCAAAAAAGGGGGCCCAATATCGGGAGAGATACTCATTTTAGTGTCAAAAATATCTATTCGAGAGAATGGAACTATTCCCAGAGTCGTAAGCTTTTTTGGTTTTCGAAATATTCGGGATCGTTTGAAGTGATTCCCTCCGAAATGGTCAAAATAGACAATAACGGGTAGAATTGCGGGACCAAAAAATGCCAATACCATATTTTAAGTTTTAGTACTTCCCTCAGATCTGGTCGGGATTTCAAAACAGGGACCTATTATATACTGGGTCGTATTCCGGGACCATAAGACCCAAAAAGGGGCCCAATATTGGGGAAGTTACGACGGAATGGGACAAGAGGCAATAAGGTCACCCAGGTCCAGGTTTGCGTATTTTCTCCAAAACTTATCGAAATTTTTAAAAAGGGGCACTACATTCTCCAGAGCTGATGTAAATTTCCAAAAAAAAATTCGTATTTTTTTAACAAAAAAGAGGCCATGGGGTCACGTTTTTCCACTTTGTGATACCTCCCCCTGAAACTGGTCATAATATTTCCGAAAAGGGCCCATAGGTCTCACTGGTCCACGTCCTCGAACTTCCCTCGGAACTGTTTGAAACAAGCGAAAAGAGACCATAGCTCACCAAGGTCCATGTTTTGTACTTCCCACAAAGTAGTCGAAATTTCCAAAAGAGGGACCAAAGGTCCACTTTTTTTCTCGCTCGGAAATGGCCCAAAATTTCGAAAAAAAAGGTTCCAAGTAAATGGGGGCTAGGGTGTGTTGTAAAAAAACGTGGACGAATATTGTCACCCATTTCGATGTTTTCGTACCTTCTCCAGAACCGGTCAAAATTCCGAAAAATTATTAAAAAGAGATCACGGGTCACCTAAGTTCTCCCTCGTAACCGGTCAAAATATTTTTGAAAAGACGCCATAGGTCACTCAGGTCCACCTTTTTTTGAACGTCCCTCGAAACTATTTAAAACAACCGAAAAGAGACTGTTTCAAAATTTCCAAAAATATTAGCTCACCAAGGTCCACGTTTTTGTACTTTCCCCAGAAGTTGTCGAATTTCTAAAAAGGGACCATAGGTCCATGTTTTTCAAACTCCCTCGGAAATGTTCAAAATTTCCAATTCGTGGACAAATGTTGTTACCTATATCGATGTTTTCGTACCTTCTCCAGAACCAGTCAAAATTTCCGAAAAATTATTAAAAAGAGATCACGGGTCACCTAAGTCCTCCCTCGAAAGCGGTCAAAATATTTTCGAAAAGGCGCCATAGGTCACTCAGGTCCAGGTCGTTTTTGAACGTCCCTCAGAATTTCTTAAAACAACCGAAAAGAGACCATAGGTAGCCTGTGTTAAAATTTCCAAAAAGATTAGCTCACCAAGGTCCACGTTTTTGTACTTTCCCCAAAAGTTGTCGAATTTCTAAAAAGGGACCATAGGTCCATGTTTTGCAACCTCCCTCGGAAATGTTAAAAATTTCCAATTAAGGGGGTAAAACAAAAACGTGGACAAATATTGTCACCTAAATCGACGTTTTCGTACCTTCTCCCGAAACGGACAACAATCCCAAAAAGGGATCATCGATCATCTAGTTCCACGTCCGTAAATTTTTTGAAAAGTCATGGGTCATGGGTCACGTAAATCCACGCATTCGTATCTCCCCAGAAACTGGTCATAATATTTCCGAAATGAAGCCACAGGTCGAACATTTATAGGTTTTCGTACTTCAAAATTACCAAAAAGATTTGTTAGTCAAAATTTCCAAAATTTCTCTCTCCAAACTGGTCAGAATTTCCAAAAGGGTCCATAGGTTCTCGTTTTTGTTCCTCTAACGAAACTGGTCAAAATTGTCAAAGAGGGTCCCATTCCGGGGGAAATACAAAAACATGGCCCGATAAGGGTAAAGAATTGGTCAGAATTTTTAAAAAGGGTTCTCGTTTTTGTATCTCTCTCGGAACTGTTCAAAATAATCAAAAATTCCATGGGAGGTACAAAAACTTAGCCTAAATCGAAAAGGGTCACAAAAGTCGACGTTTTTGTACCTCCCTTGGAACTGTTACACATTTTTCTAAAGCGCCACACTTGCACACTTCGTACCCCAAACCCCCCGATTTCCGAAAAAAGGGTCATGGGTCACCTATTTCCATGGCGGAACTGGTCTTAGGTCCACAAATTATTTGAAAATAGTTCATGGGTCACGCTTTCTTAAAACCCCCGGAAGTGGTCAAAACGATCGAAAAGAGCCATAAATTACACAGTTCTATGTTTTCGTATTCCCTCTGGAATTGGTTAGAACAACCGAAAAGAGTTCACACATAGGTAGCTTTTGGCTACGCACTTCTTTTATAATGTCAAAGTTGGCTAATCCTCACATTGCCAAGACATTTAATTAGCCGCATTGCCAACTTCGTTAAATTGTATTTTTGAGCTCCCAACTGTCATTTTTAAATACAAATACTATTTTTTATACTCTTCACCAAAAAAATCAAACATCATATTTAGCATATAAATGATAAATAATTCCGGGACCATGCGAACTGAAAATGGGGTCAATTTTCAGGACAATTTCCCACTTCTATGAATGGTGGCTGTTATCTATTGATTTAGTTCCATTACAATAAAAGGAAAAAAATCTGTTTTTGGTGTCAAAAATATTTCTCGACAATATAATCCTTCTCGAAGTGATAAAGATGTATGAAGATAAAAATATCTCCGCCAAATTTAATGAAAATCGATTCAAAATGGGATATGCCTCCCATATATTAGCTCCCACTGAAACCAGACTATAACTGCTCCAAAGCCAAATGTTGATAGGTGGTATGATCTACTTCATATAAATTCTTTTGATACGGGCGCTCTACTATATATGCGTATTCGTATCATATAATCGGCCCGCCCGACTTTTGACTTTTCCTTTTTGGTTTCTTTTTTTATTTTCATGATTTGTCTATGCATTTATTTCTTTTGTCTTTATTTATTTATTGTCTCTACATCATTTAAACAGCAAACGGAGATGCCAGATACCGTGTGTTGTAATGATATATACGCAACTGTTGTACCTCCTTGCTGGATCGTGCCTAAATCGTTGCCATCACTGTTACAGTTTGACTTGCCATCATTGCAGTGAATTAACGTTATGTTATCGATTACTGTTGTTATCGTTTAGTTCCCCCTCCACAGTAAGTGTGTATCGATTTACGAACTGGGGAGAATGTCAGTTTGACATGGACGGTTGCAAGCGTGCGGTTGTTTTGCGGTAAAATTACGGTTAAAGGCAAACGCCAAACGTTCGTTTTTTTTAATTTTTTTCGTTACGTTCGGCATTTTTTTTTGTTATTTTCGGTTGTATGAAAAATTTTTGGGGCTAGACCGGCATTTTATGAATTCGATAGCTGAGAAAAGAAAATATAAAAAAGAAAAACGAGATTATTTGCTAATTAAATTTAATTAAAGCCCTACTCCTAATAATGTTTGTGTTTAGTGGGGTTCGTGTGTGTGTGCGTGCGTGCGTGTGTGTTTTGTGTTAATTGAAGTCTAAGTGAAGATGTTTGTTTGTTAACAACAACCGGTTCCTTTTGGCAACAAGAAGAAGAAGAAGAAGCATAGAATATCCTCTTGAGTGATCTTCGGTTATTAAGGTGCCGGTCTTTTTTGGTTTTTGTTTTTGTTGATATGGCCTATCAAAGCAATAAAAGATATAAATACAAACAAAAATTGTGCAAGAATAAATAACAACAACAAATACGCAACGTGAAAAAAGGAAATTATCAGCAGGCGTTTAACTCATACCATTTTCTACCTACATAGCTACCAGCAACCAACCTGTCTGCGGGCATACGGGCAAAAAATAAAAGCAGAGCAGTAACAACAAATTTTTGTAGAGTACGCATAAAAATAACAGAAAAAAAACCCATCAACCATCCGATATATCTACCCCTTTAGTGTAGTTGTTGGTATCTTTTATTGTTGTCTTCCATTCGCTGTGTGTGTTTTTTTTTTTGTTTGTTTGCTCTTGTGCGATATCAAAGAAAGCATAAAGATATAAAAAAGAAATAATCAAAAAAAGAAAAGTTCTTTAGTTTTTGTCTTGAGGCCACGAATAGGTGTTGTTGTTGCTGTAATATTTTCTTTTTTGTTGCTAACGCATGATCATCATCTGTTTACCCCCTTTTCTGTCATCTGTCAGATGCCAAGCATATATATTTGACAATGCAGTTCTTCAAAGATGGCCATGCCTAGAAATATATTCTAATCATTGTCTTTATTTCATTACACCAGACCAATCTGCAGTACTGTCTCTTTTTGTTGTGTAAAAAACACACAGCTCCCCAATTATTTGTTTGCTGCCGGCATTGACGCCAGCAGCCACATTTTTTTTTCTTACTCCACACAACGTCAGACAATCAAGCACAACAACAGCAAACGAAATGCCAGTGTTTGTTGAGATACAAAAGGGAACATTAATTGCAAAACAACAATAAGAATAATAACAGTGTAACAACAATAATAATAATAATCGTGCAGCAACAACAACAATAATAATAACACCAACGATAATCATCATCATTTTCATCCAAAGAAACTAGTGCCAAGATCAGTGTCAACGTATGCGCCAACTGAGGCAGCCGTCGGCAAATGTAAACATAACAGAGCAAGAAACAGACAAGAGAAACAAGAACAAGAAGAAAAAAAAACACACACACAAAACAAATGACAAAAGGAGACATCAGGCCACACTTGCAATAACAGAAACAACAACACCAATAATAATAATAAACATCATTAAGAGAATAGCGGCAGCAAGCAACAGCAACAACATACGATCAAAACGAAACATAACAAGGGTCGCAAAGGCAGAGTTTTTTTACTTGAGAGAGAGCAAAGAATAATTAAGAGACTCCCTCCCTTAGTGGAAAAAACTAAAAGAAGAGAGAGAGTAAATATGAGATATTATTTCACACATAAAAGGAAGCAAAAGGAATAACAAAGGAGATAGCACATTGTTGAATGACATTCAATGAATGTATAAACAGGAGAGTGGCGCTGTACTCAGAGACATTATATGGCCAATTAAAAACAACAATAGTGGTAAAGGTCAACAAAATTAACTTCTCATGCTGAGAAGAGGGAAGAAAAATAAACAAGTGACCTCCCCCCCCCCCCCAAAAAAAAAAAAGGCGTGAGTGTAAAATTTACACTGTAAACACTTGTTGCAAATAAAATTATCCACAATTCCAAAAATAAAGGAGGAAAAGAAACCAAATCCACAAATATTGAGAAATCCTTTTAACTTATTTTTTTTTGTTTTAATTAAAAAAAAGTGCGAGAACAAATATAATTATCAAATGAAGAACATAAATGTTCTATTAACAAAATCGTTTATTTAAAAATAAAAAAAATCGCACTTACAAAAGGATTTTAAAATTCCCGGAAAAAAATTAAGATAACTCGGAAAAAATCGGATAATTTCAAGAAGAAATGATAAGCATTTCCCCCTACAAAAGACAAAAAAGTGATGAGAAAATTGTTAAAATTCAATAACATCTGCATTTTTCTTGAGAACATAAGGGAGTGCAACAGTGATAACTGGAATTAATATTTCTTGCGTGCGGAATTCTATGTTTAGAGCATTTTTTCTTGAGAGAAAAAAGGAATGCAACAGTGACAACTGGAGCTAATATTGCTTGCGTGCGGTATTCTATGTTTTAGGGAGACCTATTAAAGAAAATCCCGCGACCATATGCCGCCTGCATAACATTGAACATATTTTTTTAAATTATTTTCTCCCTGGACACATGACCTTTAACACCGCTCAACGTTATATCAGAATGCACATTCCCCTACTGTCAGGCCCAAAAATGCGTCGTACATCTTTGAGTCGAAATCACTATTTTGTTATTGGCCTATTTTTGGGTCTCGTCCTATCATTCTATGTGCCACAAGATATTTGGGAATTGGTGCAGCAGGAAGAATGTCCTCAGGAAGCAGCTGAAAATAGTCTTATCGAAAAATTTGGCCAGGAGTTTGAACCGCATTTGAATTTAATCAATAAACCATTGGCGGCCAAGAAAACGGTGAGTAAATGTTTATATTTTTTTCATTTGGAAAAAAAAAATTTTTGGAGTATTTTCTATGTATTTTTCACGGACTCACTCCGCTCATTCTATAGGCAATTATTTATCTAAAATATAGATCCTTTCAGTGTACAAACTCTAACAAGTCCATCAATATTAAGCTATTTCAAAAAAAAAAAAAAAAAAAAAACAAATAAAAAAACCAGTAAAGAAAGTCCTAAAGTCGGGCAGGGCCGACTTTATGATACCTTACACCACTTTGCTAATTTAGTAGAGCTCCACATAATAATTGAAAGTTTGTATGGGAGAATTCAATCATACACGCTATGATAATAATTATAATTTAAAGTTCAAAGGATCAAATATGCCGAAGCATTTGTATCTTTTAAATTCGGACTTGTAATGCCCATTTGGTGCAAAATTAATTTAAAATCAGATAAAGATATATATGGGAGCTATATCAAATCTGAACCGATCTCGAAAACATTTTGCAAATATATTTTTGAGCTGTATATGATATATTTCCTGAAATATTGTTGTTACGGAATGCATATTACGGCTGTGGGTAACAAATATAACGAATCGGATGAATAATATATATGGAAGCTATAGCTATATCTGAACCGATCTTCACCAAATTTGACATACTAGCTTCTAGACTCAATTCGGTCGTAGGTGCCAAATTTCATCCCATTTGGACAAATATTAGACGTTTGGTGCACAATAAAAGGTAAATCGGACGAAGTTATATATGGGAGCTATATCCAAATCTGAACCGACCTCGATAAAATTTAGCAAAGGTATTTCTGAGCTGTATTTGATATATTTCCCCAAATATTGTTGTTACAGAGTGCATATTACGGCTGCGGAGAACAAAAATAACAAATCGGATGAAACATATATATGAGAGCTATAGCTATATCTGAACCGATTTTGATCAAATTTGGCATACTTATTTTCAGGCATAATTTGGTTGTATGTGCAAAATCCCATAATATTCGGGCTGATATTACACGTTTGGTGCACAATAAAAGGCAAATCGGACGAAGATATATATGGGAGCTATATCTAAATTTTTACCGATTGTCTCCAATTTCAATAGGGTTCGTCCTTGGGCCAAGCAAATGATTTGTGCAAAATTTCATCTCAGTCGGATAATAAATGTGACCTGCATTTGGTCACAAGAATACATGGACAGACGGACGGACGGACGGACAGACGGACTGACATGCATAGATCAACTCAGAAAGTGATTCTATGGAGATCCGCAAAAGTAACTATGGGTCTATCTCGCTTCCTTTTCCATGTTACAAACAAATGCACAAAGACATAATACCCTTACCACTATGTGGTGTAGGGTATAAACAGATAATTTCGGCCTGGAAGAAATTTTAATACCCTTCACCATTTTGAAGGAACTTGAAAATTTTATAAAAAAATCTTCGAAAAATACCGCTCAAGGGAAATTGTTATACAGGGGCTATACGAGGACTTAATTCTGCATATACAATTTTTTGTCATAGGCTGTAATACCCATTACGAACTTTAAATACGAAATTTGACACAATTCCGGCAAAAAATGTAATTAAAATATTGCATAAATGGGGGTACCGTTATTTGGGGGCTATACGAAGACGTGGACCTACATAGATAATTATCTGTCGTAGGTTGTAGTACTCATTAAGAGCTGTAACTACGAAATTTGAAATAATTTCCCTAAAATCATCAGAATACCGAACATCGGGAGGTATCGTTATATGGGGGGCTACACGAAGGCGTGGACCTACATAGACAATTCTCTGTCGTAGGTTGTAGTACCCATTAAGAGCTGTAAATACGAAATTTGAAACAATTCCGGTGAATAATGTCGCTTAAATCACCAAAATACCGAAAATAGGGAGGTACTATTATATGAGGACTATACCAAAACGTGGACCTACATGGCTTATTTTCAATAACAAAAGTCCTGCAGACATAATATACATTTGAGTAAAATGTTATCAGCCTACTTCATTTCTTTCGGAAGCTCGAGTGATTTCCACAGACGGAGGGACATCGACATAGAATTTTATGCTGATCAAGAATATATATACAGGATGAGATAAAAAAACTGCAACATAGTCAAACGCCATAATTTTTACATTTTTTTTAAATTTTATTGAATAAAAGCAACAAATTTCGGAAATAGCATCAAATTTTAGAATAAGTTTAGATTTGTTCGAATCGGTCACCTTTGGCACAAAGTATGGCCTTCAAACGGCCAATGAAACCGTCACGTGCTGCCAGAATGTTGCTCTGCGGTATTTTGGCCCATTCCCGGCGTAGCTCTTGCTTAAGGTGATCGACACTTTGGCATTTTTTAGTGCCAACCTTGCTTTCCAAAATACTCCAGACACAATAGTCCAACGGATTGGTATCCGGAGATTTTGGTGGCCATTGTGCGCTGGAAATGAAGGGAGGAACCTCATTTTTGTAACCATTCTTGGGTGGCGCGTACTGAGTGCGATGGTGTTGAGTCCTGTTGGAATGCTCAAGGTCTGGGGCCAAAATGTTTGTGTGCCCAAGGCTTTAGTACACCCTTCAGAATATTTTCGCGATAATATTCGGCATTTATTCTGATGCCACGGTCGATTAATACGAGCGGAGAGCGACCATCGGCTGTTATGGCAGCCCACATCATCACCCTGGCTGGCGCTTGAGTTCTGGTGGCCAACCGAAGGTGCACATATTCAACTGATCTCTTTTTGGCAAGTAAACACGATCATTTTGTTGGTTTACAATCTGCTGGACAACGAGAAAACATTCGTTCGGAGAAAACCCAATTCGATAGTTCATCACTTTCGGCCAAGCGAAGAAACTCTTTAGCTCTTTTGAGTCTATTTTCTTTCTTTTGCGGTGTAAGTTCTTGCACTTTTTGGAATTTCAATGACTTTACCCCGAGCTCATTTTTGAATATTTGCCGCATGGAATATTGCGATATGTTCAGCTCACGAGCAATTTTTCGGCCACTGCAACGAGGGTTTCGATCACGTTGCTTCCCTACTTTTCAAATCATTTCTGCTGATGTTGCTGTTTTCTTCCGTCCACTTCCTTGACGTCGGGCTACGCTACCAGTATCACGGTAACGAACGATGGTACGAGACACAACAGATTTATCCGCATTTAAATGCTGGAGTGCTTTGACGATAGCCCTTTTGTGGTTTTCCAGCCAAATACAAAGAAATCACACTATCACGCTTGAGTTTCATCACGAATAACTTTTTTTCTGGGAAATTCTCACCAAAATGCTCTTGTACACTTGTAAACAATATAATGATCTGTCATTGGAATAAGTTTAACAGCTGTCGGACGAGTGGCTTAGACATGACAGCAGTCTGAAGTTGGTGGCAGTTTTTTCATCTCACTCTATATACCACTAGCTCCCTAGTTCATTAACTCAATTTTTATACCTCCACCATAAATATACCTCCATCATAATATGCATAGGTGTTAAACGAAACTCATCTTCTTCAAAGAAACAAATTCAGAACAGATTACTTTTTCTCAAACCTATTATTGGTACCTCTTTCTGTGAAAATATGACAAAATAATAAATTTCTAATGCCAAAATAAAACTTGTTTACAAAAATCCTACCTTCCATGCCGCTAGCCTCAGATTCAATTGCTAATTTAATTTGTATACCCTACACCATAAGGTGATCAGGGTATTATGTCTTTGTGCATTTGTTTGTAACAGGCAAAAGGAAACGAGATAGACCCATAGTTCCTTTTGATGATCTGCATAAAATCACATTCTGAGTCGATTTATGCATGTCCGTCCGTCCGTCCGTCTGTCCATGTATTTTTGTAAACAAAGTACAGTTCGCATTTATTGCCCTATCCAGATGAAATTTTGCACAAATCATTTGTTTGGCCCAAGGACGAACCCTATTGAAATTGGAGATAATCGGTCAAAATTTAGATATAGCTCCCATATATAACTTCTTCCGATTTGCCTTTTATTGTGCACCAAACGTGTAATATCAGCCCGAATAGTATGGAATTTTGCACATACAACCAAATTAGGCCTGAAAATAAGTATGCCAAATTTGATCGAAATCGTTTCAGATATAGCTATAGCTCCCACATATATTGTTCATCCGATTTGTTATTTTTGCCCTCCGCAACCGTAATATGCACTCTGTAACAACAATATTTGGGGAAATATATCAAATACAGCTCAGAAATATATTTGCAAAATTTTATCGAGATCGGTTCAGATTTGGATATAGCTCCCATATATAACTTCGTCCGATTTACCTTTTATTGTGCACCAAACGTATAATATTTGTCCAAATGGGATGGAATTTGGCACTTTCGACCGAATTGAGTTTAGAAGCTAGTATGTCAAATTTGGTGAAGATCGGTTCAGATATAGCTATAGCTCCCATATATACTGTTCATCCGATTTGTCATATTTGTTACCCACAGCCGTAATATGCACTCCGTAACAACGATATTCAAGGAAATATATCAAATACAGCTCAGAAATATATTTGCCAAATTTTATCGAGATCGGTTTCGATTTGGATATAGCTCTCATATATATCTTTATCCGATTTCAAATTAATTTTGCACCAAATGGGCAATACAAGTCCGAATTTTAAAGATATAATCATAGCGTGTATGATTGAATTCTCCCATTGTTATGCAGAACTCTACAAAATTAGCAAAGTGGTGTAGGGTATCATAAAGTCGGCCCCGTCCGACTTTAAGACTTTCTTTACTGGTTTTTATTGCATTTTAATGCAATTTGATTGGAATTAATTCTTTTCGCAAAAAAAACAAGTTCAAAGAACCTATAAAATCATTGAGAATTATTGCTTTGGACCTGGTTCTGATACTCAATTATTTTTATTGGGTAATTCGTGAACCCCCCGACTAATTGCAGCAACTTATAAAGACCATCAATGAGCTTATCTTAAAACTGTTGGCACGTTTCGTGTGAACATGATGATTGC